TGGCAAGGTATAGATTTATAGAAATGGGTTAATTTAAGATATAAGAACAGTTAGCAAGAAGCCTGCCACGGCCATACAGTTTATAAGTAATATAAGTGTCTGAGTGATTATTTTATATGTGGATTGTGGGGCTGCGGGGCTTGGTGGAACCTGGAGAGAAGCTCTCCAGCAACATTCCGTGGCAGAATTTTAGTTGGTCCTAAGTCAGGATGTCTCCATTAGAATAGCTGGATGAAGTAAAGCTGAGATGACGGACAATGTATGGCTTAAGCAATATGAGCCCACAACATTACACAAGTCATCCACTTATGATGACAGCAGGAATCGAAACTGTTGAAAAGGTTCCCCTTAGTGACAGCCAGGGAGGGTACGCCAGTGGGAGAAGGAGCAATGTTGAGTACTTAGGAGATAATACAGCTAGACATGAACTTCTTAGAACCAATTTTCTTTATGTCTTAATACAGATGAAACCGGGGGTCAAGAAAAATACCAACTAAGCTTCTTCCAGAGAGTCACTTAACTTAAACATTCTACTTCCTTAATAGAGTTATAACATAGAAAAATATAGGGCATAATACAAGTGATTTGCTCACATAATGTCTACAAACCCTTATGATGCATTTTCAGTACACTGACGTATAGAGTGTTTGTACAAATGGCCTTGGGACACAGTCTGAAAAGGATCAAACTTTGCATCCAGGTAATATCCACTCTGAAGCCCGTGCTTCTTACATCACATCACAGAATGTCTCGTAAAGCGCTGGGCTGGATCCTACAAGTTGGTGTATCATTAACAGAAATGAAAATTCAGAGAGAAATGCCTAGTGATCAATCACACTTGCGATCCCTAAACTTAGCGCAGCCTTTCTGCACAGTGATTCAGTAACAATTTAAAATCTAAAACATGCCAATCACTGCAGAGAGATTCATCGGCCAAATTTAAGAGCCACAAATAAAATAGTTTTAGAGATCGTAAAGGTCATTCTCGTCAAAAAACAGTATGAATAATTTTTTTTGTTATTCTCTAAATAGAACTGCTTTCTTAAATAGCTATTACAAAATTATTTTTTGATGTCATCATGATTGCAATAACTTTAAAAACTATTCTATTATTAACCATACAAAACATGAAAAATAAATTTTAGAACACAATTCTCTAAGTATCTTAAACA